ATAAGGGTATTTCGGTCATTTACAATATTTTCTATTAAATATGAAAGTTATTAATAAATCTTAATTAAGGAAACGTAATAGAGGAAATTGTATAAATGGTAACATTTAAATATTTAATTATATTAATATATTAAAATTTTGGATTTCATATATTGTCATGAGTTATAATCAGGAAACGTGTCTTGATGAAACAATTGAATTATAGAATGAAATCATTAAAACGTAGATGAACAAAAAAAATTACAGAATGAAACATGTTTCATGAACGTGAAACCGGTTCATGTTGCAAAGAAATTAGGTGAACCGAAACATTTTTATGGTGAACCCGTTGCATTGATGGTGTAGTTAATCCTTTTTTTATGAGAAGCAAAATGAAACCGGTGCATTTTGAAAAAAATTATGAAAAGGAAAATGAAACAGGTTTCATGAACGTGAAACCGGTTCATGTTGCAAATAAATTAGGTGAACCAAAACATTTTTATGGTGAAACTGTTGCATTGATGGTGTAGTTGATCTATTTTGTTAATGAAAAGGAAAATGAAATCGGTGCATTTTGAAAATAAATTATGAAAAGGAAAATGAAACAGGTTTCATGAACGTGAAACTGGGTCTTGTTGCAAATAAATTATGTGAACCGAAACATTTTCATGGTGAACCTGTTGCATTAATGGTGTAGTTGAGCGATTTTGTATTTCGCTCGTCATGAACGAAGTGCATGATGAAACGGGGAAATGATTTTAATCTGCTACATAATCTTGAAGATTGTAACCTGCTCCAGAATCTTCAAGATTGTAAGGACTAAAGGAATGATTCCATCAAATCGGTGGTGAAATAAGAAAATTACTGTACATGAAATAGTTTTCATGAAAGTGAAACTGGTTYATGGCAGTATTGAGCCTGATAAGTGAAATGGTTGSATAAGTGAAACAATTTCATGTTGTATTATAAACTTTTATGAAGTCAGTAATCGATGAAAAAATTTCGTTATCTAAGTGTAACGGATCCATCTACCAGTATAATGAAAATTACGAGATATGATCAGTATTACGTGGATTAGTCTGCTGATTAAATTTTGAAACCAATTTCGTTCGTATAATTTAATTCAAAATTTAAAACGATTCACTCCATATAATTGAATATGGTGTGTTATATATATATATTTTTTTGATATGTTTTATTGATGGATGTGATTTAAAGTTAAAAATAATATATTGTTTTAAAAAATGAAAATAGTGTCATTAATATCGAGAAAGATGTTACCAAATGTTAAATTTTGTTTACCATTTTTGCCCTCACTGTTGAAATAAAATAAATTTTTAATATATATATTTTTTTAATTTCCTAAAATAAAATAAACTAATCTTGGTCATTGATCAAGAAAATGAATGAATGAGATTGGTTTACACGGTTTACACAAATGAAATATGTTTTTATTTGAACGCTCCTCAATATATATATATATATATATATATATATATATTATAGATTTTCATTTTCGTTCCTACTTTCATTTCCCATTCTAAACCAAACAAGTATTTTTTTTTTTAAATGTAAAACTTGAATAAAATTTAATAATGAAACTAGTAAATAATGTATGAAGAATTGTACTATACATTTTAACCTCTAAAATTTCAATTTTTTTATGTTTCAACCATCCAACACATTTTAATCATCAATATTTTACTCATTTAACCCACGATTTAATATTAATAACAATTATTAAAATAATAAATAACCCAATCTAAAGTTTCCTTTAGTTTAAATTCATTAGCCTTTAAATTTGATATCATATTCCCAAAAAATACTTATTTATCTTTTGAGGTCAAAAAAGCAATTGCTTACTCATCCTACAATATCACAAACATATAAATCTTAAATATCTATCAAAATTGGATTTTTTTTTTATAATTTAAATTATCTTTTGACATATATTTGTGTTCACATCTATAAAACAAATACATATGAATTTTTTTGGGTTCACTTTCTGAAACAAAAAATATACATTAAAAAGTTTTATATTATGAAACAAATACATGTGAAGCTAACATATTATGAAACATATATTTGTATATATATATATATATGTATATATAAAGTATTTTCTTACGAATCTGTAACCTTTTTTTGGTTCTCACAAAATAAACTCCCTCATAAATCGAACAAACTTTTCGTTTTTAAGTATAAATTTACTGACAAATAACTTGATGACTTTATTAAATAGTGTTATCCCAACGGTCGAATATAAGATACAAATCTCCATCGATATTAAATGACAAGTTTCTACATCTACATTGAGGTAGACGTATAGATTTGTTTGTGTTTCTTGTAATAATTATCACGTAAAAGTATATATGTAAAACGGTTAAACGGTGTAATTAATGAAACCCCTTTCAACTCCTTCCAATCCTCAAAGACGGGTCGACGCCTTTGCCCAGACTGGCGGCCAATAGCCTGGCGATCTCTAACTGTGTGTGTGCAATTATCTCAGTTCTCTTCAGATCGATTTCACCTCTCTTAACTTCGGCATCCGCTCGCATTTTCTCCAACTCTCGCATCGTCTCGGCTTTCGCTTGCTCCGAACGCACCATTACTTTCGCCAACCACCGTATGCTCTCGGCCACATCCCAGTTTTCGCTTTTTCTTCGTCTTTTTCTACCGTCTGTCATCCTTGTCTTGTGATTTTTCGACTGTATCTTTTCCTTGTTGCTATAGAGTGCAGGGGTACTACAGTCGGTCTCGATCTCCATTTTTTCGGATAGTTGATGGTCGGGAATTTTCGTACCCTCCACATCTTCCTATTAAAAATTATAAAAAAGACATATAAATATACCCAAAAATAGGGTAACCTTTCCGTCCCAAAATAAATGTCCACAATAATAAAAACACATAGTTTTATACAAGTATTACACCTTTTAATCAACTAAATTACAATTTTACCCTTGATGGTTGATAATAGAGACCATACATTGGAAAGTAGACATTTATGTTAGAGGACAAACTAGAGTTTAGATGTGGATGCTTATTTTGGGACGGATGGAGTAATAAATCTTAATAAAAAATTCACCACGAACACACTCGTATACCGGGGGTATAACGGTAATTCAACTAACACAGTCCCATTCGGAAACATCGAGCGCACCCCATGTACCAAATACGTACTTGATAATCAACAAATGGGTCCATATAGTTTGGTAGGTTCGTGTTTGGTCACAAACCTACTCTCAGATATACGTTATCGAATGATTATCCAATATGAATACAACATGTTTCACATTTATATCAGAAAAACCATTAATACAACCATTACATCATCGTTATTGAACATGGCATGTGTGCACAAAAAAAAAAGTCATTGTAACATTTTATATAAATAAATCTGATTTAGACCGATGAAACAAATGTATCAAATCGAAACCAAACTCGATCGATCAAAACTGACTCGTGGTATCTTTCTCGACACTCACGATTGTCGGGTCTAGTGGCAAAAACCGGAATTAAATCCATACCCGAACCAATATTGTTCTATTGGGCTCTTGGTTCTTCTAATTGACCAATGAAAAAAAAATATTGTACTTATTTCAAGACAAATAATTCGTTTAATGTTATTTATTTATCGGTTTTGTTTATATATATTAGTTTTTTATTAACCTGGATATCCAATCCGCTATACGAGTTGACTAATCTTAAGACGATCACCCGCAAAGTCACCATATTTGAACCTCCATAGCCAAAAGAGGATTTTTATTCTTCCTTGGATTCGAACTTCGGACCTCCAGATACTTTTGATTTGGAGTCCAAGCTCAAACCAATCGGGTACCACTCTTGTGGTTTAGAAAAGTTGTGTATTACCTCCCTTCAATTGTGGTATTTTTTTTTTTTGTTTTACAGTATTCACGGATACGGCATATTCTGCCTCTTTGGTTGAAAAAAATAGAAAAAGTTTGCATAGATCCTACCTTCAAATCTTACCTATATAATATTAATTTGTAATATGAGATTTACTAAATTTGTTCGATTTGGTATCGGATACAAGATATTGACGAGATTGAAGGTAATTTAAGGCCTTTTGTAGCGAAACGTATTTAACCATTAATCTTATTTTTTATTTATTTATGTTTGTCCTAAAATAAGTATATTCGGTTCCAAAAATATACATTTCTCTATTTAAGTTTCTCATTTAGGTTCTTAATTAAGTTTGACAAAAAAAAATATGGCCTCTTAATTGTTCTAAAACCCTCTGAATTATTTTGTATCTTGGGTCTCCCTTAACCATTTCCTTAACCATTAAGCGCCATAATTTTATTGTAAACAATAATATTTCATTTTGCACTATATCATGAGAACATTTTAATCATTCTACACCAAACGATCGGCAATTGCCAAACAACCCCTTATGTCTACTAAAAAAATATAATAATTATGCATGTTTAAAATCACTGGTATACCATTTTTGGGACTTTTGGGAGAAGGGAGTATATGTATATGTGTATGTATATGTGTATGTATATATGTATGTATATGTGTATGTATATACAACACAAGCATGCATATTATTTATTTATTTTGATAAAGGTATTTCAGGTCTTTGATTTTTAATGGAACAAGCTTATGCAAAGTGTGTGTGTCAACACATATGTATATACACACACACATGTATATATATATATATATATATATATACACACACACATGTATATATATATATACACACACACATATGATGAAGAATTTTGTAAGACCAAAATTACAGGTTTTGAAATGATTTCGAGTATAAGGAATTAAAATTCAAAACATCAAAAGAAATGAAAAGAACTCAACTGACCTTGTTCTCCCGATCGACGCCATTAGAATCGATTGAATTCTGTCCAGTTCCTTGAATTACCGGATTCGAACCCGGCGCCGGTGCCGCGGCAGTCACCGGCGTACTTGATGAGTGAATCAGCGTCGAAGGAAGCGGAGGAGGCGGTGGTGGTGGCGTGTGTTCAAACACCATCAGAGGAAGATTACTACTAGCGATCGGAATCGAAGAACACGGCAGATCGCCGGCAGATGCAGCAACCGTGACCAGAGGAGGACCAGCGCTGCCGCGCAACAACAGATCCAGCCGCGGATAGAGCGGCCACGACGATACGTCGGTGGTGGCGGACTCGGAACGGTACCGTTTCTTCATCGACTCGATCTTGTTCTTACACTGCGTTTGTGTTTTAGGCGACTTGCTTGAATTGGCGCGTGAAGACACGTGCTTAGCCACATCTTCCCAGTCATGACCCTTTAGCTTGGCTCGATTTCGTAGCACCCACTTGGCTTCATAAGCCTCTAGTAGGCTTGAAACCGCACCTTCACTCCACTCATCTCTTTTCAATCTATCTCCACCACCGCCGGCGACGGTGGCCGGTGGAGGCTTCTTGGGGGGAGAATCATGATCTCTATTGGTGAGGAGAGATGGGTTTTCTTGCTTATTTGGTTTATCCATGGTGATCCCTCCTCCTTCCTCTCCTCATACTACAATTTTCCCACTAAGCTGCTAACATGAAAGTAGGGGGTATGTGTCCTTTTTACAATGTTAGGAGACACTAAAGAAAGGGAAAAAGCCACTAGCATTTAGAGGGGGCAAATTAAAGATAGAAAAAGAAAGCTACTTTTAGTTAGATTACCAAATTTTATGGACATTTACTTTCCCATCATATTTTGTTTCGATTCTTATATTTTAATACGTTACAATAACGTCGTTTTTATCGTCAATAGTTTTTTTGTGATGATTTTATTATAAATTTGTACTTATTTATCGTTTTTAGAAAATAACGCATAAAAAAGAACGATTCCTAAAAAAAAGATATCTTACAAGTCCACGTCGTAGGAAAAGGGGTTTTGTGCGCATTTCCGCTCACCCAAAGAACTACCCGTTTTGCAATAAGGTTAATGATCGCCCAAAACTCAGATGTTATGTTGAACTTATCATCATTTTAGTTTATCCGAACAAAACAGAAGATAAATGTATTTAAATGAACAAAGTCAAAGTAAATGCATGTGGCTAGGTTTTTAGGGTTGGAGGTACGTTTGATAGCATAAGGTTACACATTTATCGAGCTTTACAACGTTGGTTGGTCAAATAATTAAACACGTAGCATTTGAAATTTTATAAATATGTTAGGTTGGAATAAAAACCGTTTCATTTAATTTGGCCTTGAATTCCAAAATAACATGTATCTTTAGGAGATTGGTGAGGTTTCTTCTAATTGATGATTTTTTTATAAAAAATACTGGTTAATGATTCCACAACGTTGTGGCTTCATTTCAATAGATTAGTGCATAGGGGTTCCATGTGAAATCAACCTTAGTAAGTGTGGAAATTCCATGACACATGATCATAAATCCCTAGATGGGTTGACCATTTATAACATATTGAGGTCCAGGAGTTGAGAAAATAGAAACAAATGTTCAGGATCAGGTGAGTGTGGCATCCTAGATGCTAAAAATTTTTGTTGAAAATTCCTAGCGATCTGCAAGATCTTGATATGATCTATATGACTAACTGTCAGACTAAATACAGATGTGTGGATAGGTCTTTCCTGATTTCCTTAGCTTTTATTTTATGATAAATAGTGTTTTCCAACGACCAATTTCTAACAAACTCTAACATAAATGAAATACGTCCGTAGGATGTCCTTGTGGACTTCCACGCTGTGATCAAACTTTTTGTCCCTTTGTTTAGAATTAAAATGTTTTGAATGCTCATTATAACACAACATTGAAAATACGTTTCTAAGCATTCTTTCAAGCACTCAAGTATTTTTTTTCTTCTTTCATATTCAAAGTGATTAAAACAATCATCCAAAGATAAGATTCATTTATGAATCACAAGCATTAATTTGATATTTCATCATTCTTAGTGATTTACTTGGTATGAGTACGGATCCACTTGTTTCTATCTTATAAAAAGAAACATTCTTTGTAAACACCATTGTTGAAGACTTCTGTCTATTGTAAAGAATACATAATAGCGGACAGTGTCTCGAGAAAGGTCTTGGAGAAAAGGATATCCACATCTGGTGAAACACTATAAATCTCGTCTCTCTCTCTCTCTCACTTTATTATTCTTCAACATTTGTATGTTATGTTTGTGGTTTTTCCTTCCAAGTGTACAACTAAATGCACATGGACGATAGAGCACCTAGAATCAGCAAGAAACAATCTTTCCACCCCAAGGTTGATCAATAAATACCTTTGCATATATGTTATAACCCTGGGTATTGGGTTTCATGAAGAATCAATGTCGAATAAGAATCTTAGATCGCATAGGAAATCATTTTCCATTAGTAATGCTTCGAACACGTATTTGCCTTGATTACACGAAATTTACTTGAGATAATCTGGTACACTTCCTTTAAGGTTCACATACAAAAGAAGAAACAATTGAGTTGGGTTTTTCTTTTATTCTAATAGGTGTTGTTTAGAATAAGGCCCAGGGGTTGTTTTGGGTTTTTACTTTTTCAATAATGTGGGGGAATTCCTTTTGTTGGGTGGGGGGTGCACTTTTTGTTGGGCATTCTGTTTTTCATGTTAATTGTGATTAGAGTTTTGCTCTGGGAGAGACCATGGTCTCTCGAATGCCATTGGAGTGATTTTGCTTTCATTCTTTTAATTCAATTCCATCAGTTCGTATTAGTGTACACCAAATTGGTATCAGAGCAACAACGTTCCGGAAGATGGCAACCTGCAGTGTGACGACAAGAGTAGAGGATCTAGAGAGCGGTGTCGGATCAATAGAAAAGGGGATGCGGATGATTATAGAGCAGATGGAGAAAATTTTGAAGCAACATGACGAGGTAACAAGTAAGTTGAATTCAATTCCAATTTCTGAGGGTGTGGATTCATGGGGATCAAATGGGAGAAAGAAGGAGAATGAAGGATATGATCAGAACAGTTTTTTACTATGAAGGAAGAAGACTCGAGATACCTGGGTCCGATGGGACTGATCCAGACGGATGGATTCTTAGAGCAGAACGATACTTTCCATTAAATCGTTTAAATCAAGAAGAACAAGTAAATGTGTTGTTTATTGCCTTCAAAGGAGATGCCCTAAGATGGTTTCAGTAGGAACACAAGCGACACCCGATCAGTAGGTGGGAAGATTTGAAGCGTATGATGTTGCGTCATTTCAGATCTTGGCGGCTGGATCATTATGTGAGCAATTTCTGGCAATTAAACGGGAAGGAACCATCGATGAGTATCACCTCAAATTTGTGGAGTTTGCTACTCCACTAGATGGAATACCGAAGGAGATTTTCTTAAGCCAGTTCATTAATGGCTTAGTAAACGTGATCAAAGCGATGGTTCACTTGATGAATCCAATATCATTAAGTGATGCAATGGAGATGGAATCAAAGATCGAGGTTAAGAATTAATTGTTGAGCAGGGATCAAATTCCAATCTCTAATATGAAGAGCTCGAGTGTGGGATCAGAGGCTCGTGACATGTCTACTCAATCGGTAGCGTCGTCCAATTCGTCAGCAAGATCAAGATCCGAGTTTAGAAGATTGTCTGACCAGGAAGTCCAACAAAAACGAGCACAAGGTCTATGTTTTCGTTGCGATGAGAAGTATTCACCAGGGCACAAATGTAAGAAGGAGTTGAGTGTCATTCTTATACAGGAAGACACAGATAAGGAGGAAGGATCTGAAACTGAAGAGAAATCTCTGAATACGGTCGATGTTGTCGACTTAGGTAAGAAGGTGGAAGTACATCCAAATTTCGTGGTAGGATTAACAAATCCTAAAACGATGAAAATGGAGGGGATTGTTGATGAGCAAAATGTGATAGTCCTCATCGACAGTGGGGCCACGCTAAATTTTATTTTAAAGGATGCGTTTGGGAAACTGAATTTGGAAATAGAGAAGATGAGAGAGTATACGATCACAATGGGAACTGGGAAAACAGTACAAGGGGAAGGTTGTACAAGCAGGCACGTGACACTCAGGATACAAGGATTGGACGTTGTAGAAGATTTCTTACCCATATAATTGGGAAATAGTGATGTGATATTGGGGATGCCATGGTTAGAGTCACACGGGCCCACTTACATAAATTGGAAGCGTTAGATCATGAAATTCACAATCGGTGGTAAGTCGGTGTCGTTGAAAGGAGATTCGGCTTTGGGCAGATCTAAAGTGTCACTTAAAACCATGGGAAAAGTGATCCAGGAAGGACATGGTGTTTTGGTGGAGTTAGGATCGTGTGAAGCTGGAGATGAGGCGGGAAAAGAAGAAGATTCGATTCAAGAGCTGTTATTGAAGGAGTTTGATCGAGTCTTCAACATGCCTCATGGTCTACCTCCGATTGTGGAAGAGAACATGGGATTATCTTAAAGCATGGAACAAAACCTATGAATGTACGCCCGTATAGATGTCTCCACTACCAAAAGGACAAGATCGAGAAGTTGGTAAAAGAAATGTTGGATGCGGGGGTTATTTGGCCTAGCTTGAGCCCTTTTTCGAGCCCAGTTCTGTTGGTGAAAAAAAAAAGACGGGAGCTAGAGGTTCTGTATAGATTACAGAGCATTAAATAAAGCTACAGTGGTCGATAAGTTCCCAATTCCCGTCATAGATGAGCTGTTGGACGAGCTCCATGATGCTCGGGTATTCTCGAAATTGGATTTGAAATCCTATCATCACCAAATCAAAATGGAAGAAGGGGACATTCAGAAGACGACGTTTCTCACTCATCAAGGACATTATGAATTTCTCGTAATGCCTTTTGGGTTGGTCAACGCACCAGCCAAATTTCAAGGCCTGATGAACAAAGTGTTCAACAACGTATTACGAAAATTCGTTTTGGTGTTTTTCAACGACATCTTGGTTTATAGCAAATCTATTGATGAACATATAGAACACCTTAGAGTGGTTCTGAACATTTTATCACAACATGACCTTTATGCTAACAGAAATAAATGCGAGTTCGGTCGGGATAAGCTAGGTTATGTGGGTCACGTTATTCCAGGTGAGGGAGTGGAAGTTGATGGCCCAAAAATTAAAGCCATAGTTGATTGGAAAGCCTCCACGATGGTCACAGAGATACGAGGATTTTTGTGCATGTCCGGTTATTACCGAAAGTTTATAATAGGGTATGAAATGGTGGTCGCTCCTCTCACGGATTTGCTAAAAAAGAACCACTTTCAGTGTACAGATGCGGCATAATGTGCTTTTGCAGAATTGAAGAAGTTATTGTCGACAACCTCGGTTCTAAAATTCCCCAACTTCTCGTCAGATTTTGTTATTGAGATGGATGTCTCGGGTTAAGGATTGGGGGTTGTGCTGATGCAGAATGAGCAGTTGATCGCTTATTTCAACCAAGCTTTGGGACCTCGAGTCAAGCAAAAGTTTGTTTACGAAAAGGAATTGATGGCAATTGTACTCGTTGTTCGAAAGTGGAGGCCATACTTTCTCGGTAGACACTTTACCGTTCGTAGTGATTAGTGAAGTCTCCGATTCTTGTTGGAACAACGAGTAGTCGAACCGAAGTATCAGAAATGGGTTAGTAAACTGTTGGGTTACGATTTTTCAATAATGTATAAACCGGGTAGTGCTAATCGGTCAGCTGATGCTTTATCTCAAAAGAAAGAGGTGGTCGAATGTTCAAGCATGGGTGGCCCTCTATGGAGACAATGTGATAGCTTGAAAGAAGAGATTGACGAGGATGAT